TTCTAAGTCTTTAGAAGTGCAGTGAAATTTCATGGTCTTCTTAAAAACACTGAAAGTTCTTGTTCTTTGGAAGTGGAGAGAGATTTCTTATAAAAAAAACACTAAAACTCTTACAGAGGTTTTAGTTCCTAAGAAATGTACTGAAATTTCTTGTTCTTCAGACTTATAGGGATATTTATTGTTTTCATAAATGCTCTGAAATTACTTGTTTTTCAGAAATATACCTATATTCAGAATAGAATTTCATCCTAAAAAAAACTGTCTCTCTCTGCCCTAGATTCCAGGAATGGTAGCATACAACATGAGCAAGGCAGCCATTGACCAATTTACAAGGAGTGTGGCCTTAGAGGTGGCTGACCGGGGAGTGAGAGTGAATTCCGTCAACCCTGGGCTTATTATTACCGACATCCACAGGCGAGCTGGCATGTCACAGGAGAACTATCAGAAGGTAAGCAGGGTAGGAATGAAGGGGTCAGTTTTTCTTGCTTTTCCTTTTCTTTTTTAAGTTAAGATGATTTTCATCTCTGCATTTTGAATATATATATATATATATATATATATATATATATATATATAGATAGATAGATAGATAGATAGATAGATATAGATATAGATATAGATATAGATGTATGTGTATATTTTCATATGATTGCAGTAAATGAACAGTGTTCATAAAATATAAACATATAATGTACTGATCACAGCCTTTATTATTATAACTCTTAAAATTATGTAATTTTAATAAAATAACTTTTTTGTTTTAGATGCTATGTTGATGCTACTTTGAAGTGATATAAATGTCTATTCCCTCTCTTTCTGTTAGTGAATTTCTTCCCTTGTTCAGCAAATGAGAAGAAATTTTCCCATTTTGCTGCCAAATTAGTCTCTCCCTTCATTCAATCAGTTCATTTCCCTCATTACTTAGGTCTTGATCACTAAAAGTATTCTGAAGTCTATTTTAAAAGGAAGTTTTAATATGAGGCTGATGTTAAAACCATTTTCCAAATATGCTATACTTGTAATTTTCAATTTTGAAAGAAAATTTGCAGAAGGAATATATTTCAGAAAAAAGTCTATAGTAGAATAGGTATTATTAATCATATTTTTTCATAGCAGTTCTAGATTTCAAAGGCAGAAAGTTCTCTTTAGATTATTGATAATTTTTTTTCATTCATATATCAGAAAGGCAACCATTTGTTTTATGAATAGGTGCTCATGCATTTCATTTCTGGCTCTAATGGCATCCTCTGACCGTCTTCCAGATGGTAGAACACACCAAAAAGATGTATCCCCTCGGCCGAGCTGGAGAAGTCGAAGATGTGACAAAAGCCGTCCTTTATCTTGCCTCAGAGGATTCGTCCTTCGTAACGGGTGTGACACTGCCAATTGATGGTGGGCGGATACTGCAGTGCCCTCGCTGATTGGGGAACAAGTGAAGGGATATGTTTGTCGTTCTGAAAATTGGTTCTTTTTAATGTCTGGACAGGGCTGTGCTAAGTGGACATCAATTGTAACTATTATACTGTTGATATAATTGATGTGTTGGTTGTTCTTGATATTTAAACACAAAGTATGAAAAAAGTATTACTAATATAAAATGATATACATTTATATTTTTCAAAAACGTGTTGCAGATCAAACCCTTAAAGACATTAAGATTGATATTAAGTGATATAAAGAACAAAAATTATGATTGATAATTATATACACTTCCTTGTTTTTTTCCTTTTTTTCTTATTATACAGCATTATTTAATCTTAAGAGTATAACTTTCATTGAAGTTGATATCAGTTATTGATTCTTTGTAAAAAATTAAATATGTTAAGTAAATAATTGCATTGTAAATGGGTTGTTTTTTTTACTTCCCCCTCATGTTTATTAGACACTGTGATGTAATTGGAAAGGATCAGTGATTAATATATATTTGCACAATAATAACAATGATCCCATGCAGATGTGGCAGGTCAGCTCACTAAACAACCACTTCAATCAATACAATTTGCATGAAGCTTATGGGAAAATACAGGTTAAAATCTTTATTGTAGGGCTTGAAAATGTTGCATTCATTTGGTGTTTAAGAACAATTTGCTTTGTGTCCTCTCTTGAAGATGCCAAAATATGGTACTGATGTCCTTTAGGGGCTAACTGTGATTTTGAGTATAACTTATAAAATATTCTAATTAAAGATTTTATTATCATTATCATTACTAAATTGCTGGGTATTGCAATAATTTTTCTTGTGTTATTGATGTTTTTGTTTTTCAAATGAGTTTCATGTTTTTTTTTTTAACTAATAATAAAGAAAGGTCTTGTAAACTGAGATGAGCTGTGATTAAAATGCATTTGTAGTATTCATGTTAATAGAAGAAATTTATATTGATATAGTTTATAATGCACTACAAAGATGGTAGATGTTTGGTCATCTTCCTTCAGCTGCATAAGATAACATATAAAAAGATAACTATTTTGTTCACAATCTATGTCATACTTACATCTTATTGAAGCCCAATCCTATTTCTTTCTCTCTCTCTCTCTCTCTCTCTCTCTCTCTCTCTCTCTCTCTCTCTCTCTCTCTCTCTCTCTCTCTCTATCTATCTATCTATCAATCTATCCCTCTCTCTCTATCTCTCAATTTCTACCTCTCTCCTATTTATCTATCTACCTGTCTGTCTGCCTGTATGTATGTGTCTCCCTCTCTTTCTTTCTCTCTTTCTTTCTCTCTCTCTCTCTCTCTCTCTCTCTCTCTCTCTCTCTCTCTCTCTCTCTCTCTCTCTCTCTCTCTCTCTCTCTCTCTCTCTCTCTCTCTCTCTCTCTCTCTCTCTCTCTCTCTCTCCTTCCCTTCCCTTCTCTCTCTCTTCTCTTTTGTGCTCATCTCTTCTCATCTCTACTCTCTATATAATCTACAATTACATATGATCATAGATATCTGAGCACACTGAAGATCTGTGCTTGTGACACAAAGCAAGGATTGTCACAATTTCGATATTAAGTGAGAAATATGAAAGCTGTTCTCTGTCTTTGCAGAAGCATAAAAAGTCTAAAAATCTGGATGAAGGGAGGCTCTGCAAATAGGTCTGAAGCTCACTGTTCTTAAGGAAGTAGGAAAAGCATAGATTTGTTATGACAGGAGTTCTCATTTCTCATAGCTGTCAGAGATACGTAAATTAATGTTAATGATGAGAAAGTTAATAATACTTTACATCGAAAGAGGGGGGGGGATGCAGATGTAATGATGCATAATTTAACATCTGCCTTGACAATAAATTGAAAGGAAATTTATTATTACTTTAGTCATTTACTGGATTATTTGAGAACTGATATATAGGCAGAGATTAAAACTTTGGGGACAGATATGTTCAAGAATTTTACTAGCAGACACATCTCTGGAATACTGTAGTTGACAAAAAGCATGCTCATGATGAGGGAAATACATATTAAGATATTTTGGATCAGACTAAACTTCTTTCCAGATTATAAAACCGAATTGAAATCTATATTTTTCATCTTATTCCTGTGTTATCTGTTTATGATACATATATCTTATCAAAGTACCATAAGTTCATTAATATCTTCATACATTCAACTCTGCAGTGTATCTTAGATGTATGTTCTAGCATTGTGTTTATAATGGTAACACATTTTTTAAGTGTTATGTTGAATGATTATAGGCTTTTAAATGGAGGCACCTGTGTGTATAATCATGACTTGACTGTATAGTTTAACAGTAATAAATCTATGTGAAGATCTCAAAAAACAGTAGTAGTGATATTGGGAGTAATTATAGTGGTAAATGTATTTTTTGCATTTTTCACACAGTATGCTTTACTAAATCAAACAAAGTCAAACTCATAAATAAAAATGTAATATTGATGATGATAATGATGATTATCATCTATTACAAATAATAATTGTAACAGATATTCGACGTTGGTTCCTGTGTAATGAGAAGCTATTACCTTGCTCAAATCACCATCATCATTATTATCATCATTATCATTGTCATCATCATCATCATCATCATTATTATCATCATCATCATTATTATTATCATCATCATTATCATTATCATCATCATTATTATCATCATCATCACCATCATCATCATCAATCATCATCATCAATCATCGTCATCATCATCATCATCAAGGGGGTACATGCCCAGTTACGCCCCTTCATATCCGCCATTGTACATTGTACCGAGGTCTAGTTCTTGTACTGTACTTTTTCGCTCTCACAAGCATGCAGCAAAGTGAGACATCATTTTCATATCATTCGCTCGTTATTGTTACTGTGCAGATTTAGGTTGTGGTTGTCCTATTACATAAAAAAAAAATAGTTTGGATTTGAACTTTTCTTTACTGAATTCCAGACATTTAACTTGGCATGGTAGGATCATCATATGACTGAGCTCGACAGTTTTGGAGACTAACTCCATTTACCTAAAAAAATGCATCTTTCTATTGTGAATGCAGCTAATAAACGTTTCCTTAGCACCATCGGTCTTGTCGAAATTGCTGCTGCAGTGTCATACATGATTGCTAACTGTTGCATATACCCTTATAACTTTTATTTCGAAGAGATAGAACATACATTCAAATGCCTTAGATGCTTTAGAGTTTGCTATACATATCCTACTTGCTGCCGAATAACAGTATTAGTGTGAAAGGGGAGAGCAATACCAGACAATTAACAGCTCTGTCTTTCTCACATGAATGCGAAATGATGGATTTTTTTTATCTTTTCATTCGTCACGAGGATTCCGAAGGTTTGGGGCCATTTACTCGAGATCTCCAAAATTACATAAACGCTTGGACAATCAATCAAATGTTTTTTTTTAAGTATCTCCAACTATGATCCCTTTGGTATGTTAAAGAGTTCATTAACAACATAAGACCGTTATTCACTCCTGTTTCTCATTCAAAGATTTTTTTCCGGCCTGTTCTTAATCCTTTGGTTATGCTCTCTGCCTTGCTCAGTTTCTCTTTGCAATCCGCCCCTCTGGCTACTTTTAATTTCGTGTCCAGCTGGGTCCCTATAAAGAAAACCTTTCTCGCTGCTTCAAATTACTTAATTGTAAAAATACAGTTTCCAACACACAATATATGTCACCTTAACTTACTTCAGATATAATCGACCCTAGTCTCGAGGCGCCACGCCTAATCTGAACAACTTATGGCAAAACTACGAGACAGTGACCTTATTAGAGTCGTCTGAGGGACAAGTGTTCCATATTGCATTTTTTTTTTCGAAAGTTATTGTTTAATTACTATACCGAAGATACTGAAGGTACACTAAAATACTCGCTGTCCTCTCTTTCATTTTGCTTATAATATTTCTTTCTGCAATGTATTTGATTGGACGTGATAATTGGCAATAAAATCACCATACGCTAGAGAAAAATGCGTCCCTTAGAGAAACAAAAGCGAAAAAATTATGCCTCCAGTATGTAACTGAGTAACAGGTAACTGAAGAATATAAAAGTGTTTACCAAAACTTCTATCATTGGTTTATAATGGTTCATTTTTTAAGCCCATTATAAGCTGTAAAAGTTTATGACTGGGATAATCTCATTAGGGATTGGCACCATGCGAAAGATTCCTAAAACATTATTGTGGACAATTTGTATCAAAACGCAAAGTAATTATATTAATAATTTTAAGATTATCTAATATCTTATACTCCGCAATTCTGTCAGCACGTTAACAAAACTTAGTCACAGTTCTGGTAATTGTGAATCAGTCTGATTGGCATCCAGGCACGATGGCAGGGAGATGCACGCCACATGAGGCTGCAAGGTGTCACATTGAGACGAGTGAGGTTTGGTGAATCAACTTTAGAGCTTACAGTAAATTTAAAACGTGTTGCAGAGTGTAGCACAATGCGTTTAAACATTGTGAGAAATACGAGTTTGCAATATCCATTTTTATGTTTTTTTACTGTGTGCTCCTATGCTTTGATAGTTTCTCGTGTAAGAACTGCATTTTCAATTTTAATAATTGGGTATCAAATATAGATATGGTATTTTAAGCAATTATTAAAATGATTAAATTATTACATTTTCATACTATTCAATGTGAATGTCTTGCTAGTTAACCAGTAAATTGTTTAAGTTGATTATTAACTATATTGGTTCGACAATGAAGGTGAATAGTTAGTTTAAAACCCCGTAGAAAACAAAATTTACGTGTGAACTAGAACATGTATTCTGTTTGAGAATCTGGCTGTACATTTTATAACCTTAAGATCAAACTTCCTTATCATGGTACTGTGTTATCCTGTACCAAAAACTCTGCTTAAATCTAAAACTAGGTTAGCAGTAAATACCTTTTCAGCCATTGCTTTTCGGGATATCAATTACATTAAGGAAGTTAATTTGTATTATATGGATTAATCATTCGAAGATTTTACCCTTGGAAGTAAAAATATTCAACAAAAGTTATACACATCACACATATCGCCTCTCTTATATACAGGCATAACCTATTATTAATATTACTTTTAAAGTATCAGAATATATAATTGTTGAAAAGAATCCACCGCTTAGATGTGTAATAATATTGGTGCAAACATGTCAGCAACTTGTTTTAAACATGTTGGGATATTATCATGACCCGCTGGGGATTCTCTATGGTATTTTAAACATCCAAAATTTCCTTGTTGGTTTAATTTAATATCAGTTCATTATTTTCTCTGCTTACGTATTAATGAGAGTAGAGGC